AACTGATAGACATACTTAAACATACTTTTCTTTTGTAAATAAATACACATCATACATATATAAACACCCAGACACTAGAAAAACATTATGCTCCTCACACAATATTTTCCAGAAGTGGGGATCGAACCCACACCCTCTGGCGCAGAAGGTAGGTACACTACCGACTACGCCATTCGGGTCGTCCATATATCGATAGTTTTGATTTTAAATATCGATATTTTAGCCGATATTAGATAGATTTTGATCCGATATATCGATATAAAATATTCAATATCGAAATCATATCAAAATCAACATCCCTAGCATGTTGTTCTGCTATTTCAGGAAGGACCTGGACCGCCTTAGGAAGTACCACGCCTTCACAAAAATTGGCGTCTAGTCAAATTAATATACTTTTGACGTGCATCTGTTGAGTGAGATGATGTGGGCCGAACTTTTTGAAGGTATAACATCTGCGAGCACATAACTAAATATTATTTGTGCTGCCTTTTGGGTACCTTCTCACTTATTAAACTTATTACTAACTAACTCACTTATTAACTCCTTTATTTGTTCTTTATCTGAGTTGTTGGTGGAAATACATAAAGTAATAGCCTACGTATGTCCTACTGAAGGGCAAAAGCCTCCTATGTACAAAGAGACTCCTAGGCACATGGTCACTCGATCCCGATTAACGGACTAGAAATATCTACGATTTTTTTTTATTGTTACTTCGAAAAACATGCAGGTTTCCTCACGATGTTTTCCTTCACCGCTGAGCACGTGACGTCAGCACGTGCAAGTCCATATTTTCACTAAGGAAAAACAAAACCCCCTTCAAATATAGTACTGCATTCATTTTATAATTGATTTTCGGGAGTTCCCAAAGTATCTTCGGAGCCCAAGATCCAATACCAATGAAATTAATACGGGACCACATGGAAGCGCCAGCTATCGAATAAACAAAAGAATCATCAAAATCGGTTCACCCGAATGTTCTTAGATAACAAACTTAAAAAAAAATTCAGTCTAATTGAGCACGTCCTCTTTTTCTATTGAATTAAATGCGAGCGCCCGGACACTGAGCTATCACGGCTCAGCAGTTATTGGCGAGGCTTACGCGAAATGTTCTAAAGGTTGACTACGCGGTGACATTGACGGGAAACGCCAGTGGCGTGTCTATGCGGATTTATTTAAACCGTTTACTCAGCCGCTAAGCCCAGCGCTATGTAGTTGTACGTATTCCTAGACCCATTTGCGATGGTGTTTGAAGTTGCGGGGTGTTGCATGCACTACGTCGACCACCTAACACCTCCCCGATCGTACAAAATCTCGTCATTGTCGTATATACTGTTCACAAATGTAAAGCAGTAACAGTAACTTAATGCTAACGACTGTAGAAATTTAATTTGAACGGCTATCCTTATTAATATTATAAACGCGAAGGTTTGTTGTATGGATGGATGTTTGTTACTCTTTCACGCAAATACTAATGAATGGATTTTAATGAAACTTTACAATAATATAGCTTATACATCAGAATAAGACATAGACTATAATTTATATACAAATTTTATGTATATCTGTCTTTCTATCTGAATGTTACTGCTTCAGCCTATTCTACGCAGATGTAGTCGCGGGCAGCAGCTAGTCTGACTATAAAGACGGATTTCATATCAGGTTTTATATATTGCCTTGTTGTTTCTTTTTTATATTATTAGTTGGAGGTTTCATCTTTAATAACGTTCTTCTGGATCACGTACCATACCAGATGATAAGCAAAATTATGAGCATTGTAACAATACGCCGATGTTCTGTGACTACCCAACATCTCTCTCTGAAACTCTACCATTCCTCTACTACAGCGCAGTCTTAGTACTCCTAAATCGTCGTGTGAAATGGTTCGAAGTATTCAGTTAAAGAAAAATAGACATGTCAGAGATAGAGAAAGAATCGCAGCAGCTTCGGCTGTTGCAAGAATGGGCAGACCCATCCGGGGAGTACCACGGCCTTACAGAAGACCGGCGCGTACTGGAAGCATTATACTTTGGCGTTTCGCCTGGTGAGAGGTAGCTGGGTCCCAATTTTTTAAAGGGTTGCAACGCATCTGCAATGTACGGGTATTAGAGATGTCCAAGGGTAATTATTTAAAATCAGGTGAACCGTGCTCTCGTTATTGTGAAATGCCCCTAGCTATTAGACACATGGAACTCTACGATATTTATTTAAGTATACCGCCGAAAGTGGTTTTGACTTTGGGTGGAAAACAAAAAAAAACTGCCTGCTCCAACTTTTCTTATGAAATAAATAGAGTTGAGACTCCCCGGGAATCGATGGAGCGGTGTAACGAATTATTCTTTTTTTTTTTTTTTTTTTTTTTTTTTTTTTTTATGCGAAAAGTTGCCAAACGAGCAGACGGGTCACCTGATGTTAAGCGAATACCGCCGCCCATGGACATCTGCTACACCCGAGGGTTACAGATGCGTTGACAACCTTTTGAAAATTGGGCTCCGGCTACCTGACTCACCAGATGAAACGCGAAAGTTAAACAAATTATACTTCCACATGACGCCGGTCTTATGTGAGGTCGTGGTACTACCCGGATGAGCCTGCCCATTCGTGCAACAGCCGAGGCTGCTGCGTGGCCCTACCACAATTAGTTAGTTGCAAAACTATGTTTTGAATTTTGCTTCCAGACAATGTTCTTGACCCTTTGAGTTGAAGTTTTCAAGAATCCCCAGAGTGTATACCTTATATGTGAAGGGATCTTTCTGTCAATTGCAAGTAATCCCGACGGTTAGGCTGTATTGATAGATACGTTAGTAGGGTTAGCAAGGGTGGATCCAGGGGGGGGGGGGGGGGGGGTCATGGGGGTCATGACCACCCCCTGGGCCGGATCCAGGACCTAGGTGGACCACTAATTAAAATTGTTAAACGTAATGTTTTTATATATTTCTGCACACATATATAGATTTTATGTAAGTACCTTGAATATTTAAAAATCAACGCTATGTACGAGCAAAACAGAATTTTGCAAATCCGTCTATATAACTCCTTCTTTTTGAAGTCTATTAAAATAAGTACCTACCTTTTTACTTCTATCTATGATTATAAAAATTAAATTATAACTTCTTATCACTTGACCATGACTACGTGACCCCCCCCCCCCCCCCTCGGCACCAAAGCTGGATCTGCCCTTGACGGCTAGACACTGATTACCTTGCCTGAGTGGGCTCGAAGGTATTCTTCCGGCCCACTCAGGCAAGGCAATCTGTCGGTTACTCGTTACGGTTGTCCTTTTTTTATTGGTTAGTAAAAATGTTATGTTCTTGTGAGTTCTTCATGTGAGTTCTTATCGTTCGTAATTAAAGGGTAAAACGAGATCCTATGACTAAGACTCCGCTGTCTGTCTGTCCGTTTGTTACCGGGCTGTATCTCATGAACCGTGATAATTATACAGTTGTAATTTTCACAGATGACGTAGTTCTGTTGCCGCTATAACAAGAAATTATAAAAAGCAATAAAAAATATTTTAGTGGGGCTCCCATACAACAGTCACAATTTTTCAGGTTTATTTTTGCCGATAATGGTACGGAACCCTCAGTATGCACCTGGCCGATTTTTTCAATTTTTTTAAAGAGATAATAAATAATCATTAGCTAACTCGATACCTAACAAGTCGACGTTAGAAACAAGAAATTTCATCGAGTCTGAAATATACTTTACAAGCGAATACTGCGCGTATGAGATTTATCATACTACCACCCACTTATAGTTGCATAAGCGGTTGCATTCAGAGACGATAATTTCTGACTGATGACTCCGTGCCGCAGTTGTCAAGGTATTGGCTTCGGCGTCGGGGGTCGTGGGTTCGATTCCCACACGGGACAATTATTTGTGTGACCCACAGATAGTTGTTTCGCATCTGGGTGTTTGTCCGCATGAAATTTATGTTTGTAAAACGTCCTTACAACACAGGATAATGTTATCCTAAAGTAAGGGCAATGTAAAAAAAAAAAAAAAAAAAAATTAGGACTAAGCCAGCATTAAATCCGTTAATACAGTCAAATATCTAATTAGGGTTGTGTAATGACCGCGAACTGTTCGTGTTTTCAAGAGAAATATACATGGTTTTTATCCATTCCATTGTTTACGGAAAAACTAAAACATATTTATTAACGAATTGATGCGAAGGAAAATGAAAAAGGTTGTACAGTTATTTAAAGTCTTTATCATGACTCACGTTATATCTGATTATCTCGACTCTACATCACCCTAAGATTAACTGGTTGAGAACGTAGCTGGCGTCAAGTCTGTGCATAAATTTTGAGTAAATTAGTCTGGACTGAACATCAACCCTTCAGTTTATTTACTCCAATCAACTGTGTACAAGATGCACAGATGTACTTAACATTTTGTCTTATGACATTTTATAATCAATTTTTCAATTTTTTAAATGATTTCTTTTAATACGCTGAGAGTTATGGAAGACACTTATCTGATATATGTATTATGCATTCTTCGATAAATATAGTTCATAATTGGTGATATATAAAATATATATAATTCTTCATAGATATGACATGTATCTTTTGAGAGATTGACTTTTGTCTGGTAATTTAAACACAAAATGGACCTTAATGAATAGTGTTCAAATAAATAGTAAGGTATATGTAAAGTACGATAAATATAAACAATTTAATAGGTATATTTTAAGTTCAAGTTTCTGATTGTAGAGCCGTCCGCTCAAGAAATAACACGAAATCCGACAAAATTCACCGTTGCGTAATATTACGTAAAATGCGAAAACACTAAAACGCCAAAAGGGTTTTTTCGTAAACAATTAGGCACCCGAATAACATTGTAATCCGGAGAACATTTCGGATTACAAACGCGTAGCGTTGGAAACGTCACGTCACAAAAACGATGAAAAAACCATTCTAATGCAAACTTTTCGAAATGTCACCCCTACAATCGTAATACAATTTTACGCATAATAATTAAGTTTTTCGAAAAAATCACGCAATCACACGTTGCCAATGTCGTAGCAAGTTGAAAATGAACTCGTATGTCCCAAACAAAACACAATCGTCAAAACGTATCTCGTTATCGAGGCATACTTCCACCATAGAGGCCGAAGCTTTTGAGGTTGGTAGCGAGTTCGCTGACGTTTGCGGGCGAACATATGTTACCTGATAAGGCTCGTCGGGCTTGCCAGGGTAGGAGGCGCTGCGACGGTAGTCCGGGGCCCTCGGCGCGGGCGCCCTGCGCCAGGGGGCGAAGGCCGACGGCTGGGGGGGCGGCGGCGCCGGCCAGCGGTACTGCGGCGCGCGGCGGAACGGCGGCCGGTACTGCCTCTCATCGTCGACGCCCGGCGCGCCGGGGTACTGTAGCTCACCCATACAAGCAACGCGTCCGAACCGCGCCGCGGCCGGCCGTGCACTGCCGATAACAACTGTCGCCCGCCGCGTCGGGTCGATGCCGAGTGCGCGCGCAGCCCGCGCCCCGCTTTTCGGATTCCGAATGGCCCCGCTCGCGGCGCGCGTGTGTGCGTGTTTTGTTTTTTTTTCCGCGCGGCCAACACCGCGCCTCTCGCTGGCAGTATCGCGCGCCGCCTTTGCCTCCCGCCGCCCGTATGCGTCAGAATTGGCGCGCAAATGTCAGCGCTGCGATTCGTTCCGCCCGGTTATGGTGTTACGTATGATGACGTCTGTTGGCGAGCATTCTAATGCAGATTCGACGTGAACACGCGTTGTAATGGTGTATATTTTATCTGTGTCACGAACAACCCACTCAATGGTTACATCTTACGTTTAGGGATTTTTTAAAATGCTGATATTTAAATCCCACAAAGTGGTGCTGTTGTACAGAATTGGCAATGAAGCAATGTTTTAACACGTTCCCGTAGTGCATCTTGGCGCAGTGCGCAATGTTACAGTGATCTTTGACCGCTTTCCGTAGCACCGGGTGTTTCGACCTAGTGCACGACTAGCGCCATCTGTTGCCGGAATTCGTACCACTGTCACAATTGAATATTCATTCCCTTCCATTTAAAATATAGACAGAATTATAACTGAATTTAATTTATTCATAATTTTTCATGGGTGAAGTAATCGTGTGTTTTTTATCACTGGACGAGATAAACAGCTTCGTAATAAACAAGAGTCTCATTTTTTTAATGGACATCTATGTTTCTTTTGATCCGGTTCAACACTATAACAGGGCAAAGTCGACCAGCAACACACTTTCAAGGGCTGACCTCATTTCCTACTTGCGTTTTTTCTTAAATTTATCTAGACAAAATCCCCATCTACTATTAAAATACAAGATAGAGTGTACAAGTAATCTTCTAGACACTATCTTTTATTTTAGTCTAAAATACTTTAATACTTAACCAAACTTAACCAGAGCTGATGAATAATATAATAAACGTATTTATAAGTGAGGATTGAACTTCAATATTTAATTACCCATACATTGCAATTGTTATTTGCGGTTGGGGATCGAACTCAGGACCTTTACCTAGCCGTTATATTGAACATGACCCATATCATGACACACATTTGTGTACATGTGCTTAGTCGTATTAAAGCTGAAAGTATTGAAAAACGGGCTAAGTTGGGAATCGTAGATCGGCGTAGAGCGCTACGCCCCGTAGCCTTGGAACAAATGGCGCCGATATCTATTGTAGCATTAATTATTTGTACTCTCCATAACTTATTCCATATATATATATATATATATATATATATATATGGAATAAGTTATGGATATGGAAGAAGTTATATATATATATATATATATATTATATTATATTATATTATATTGCTCGATAACAACCATATAATTTATATTGTATACTAGCTTATATCTGTGATCGAAAACCTAAAAACCTATATAGGTTTATGGCTTATATGAGCTACATTTATATACGTACGGTGGAAATCTCTTATCTTCTATTATATATAGAGGAAAAGATTTGATTGTTTGTATGTATCGAATAGGCTCCGAAACTACTTAACCGATTTGAAAAATTCTTTCACTGTTGAGAAGCTACATTATCCCTGCTTCACATAGGCTATATAATATTTTCAAAATATTTGGGATCCTTACTAAAACTCCAATAATGTTACTCAGGGTGTACAAAAATTACCTAAAATATTCTTTACATCGCGTGCGCTGCGAAAACTATTGATGATAGAATAAAGTAATGTACAACGAATTTGTAGAAAACATCATTATTTCCAAAAAGTGTCGCGAGAGCATATGTCAAAGTATTATAGTTATGCCACAATAAGTGTTCTTTTATTTTTAAATTTTGGTTGAAATGCCGCCGCTAGAAAAGGCTCTTTATTTGTATCTTGGTATTAATCCTTATAAAAATAAATTACTTCATATTTAAGACTGTTTCAATATCTTTATACAACTTTTTGAATTATTAAATTCAGACATTCCATTCGAGAGATATCACAAGTTTAAAAATGTTAGTATATTGGAATTTAACTATCCAAACAGCTTAGTGACTTCTCATAAGTTTTCAATCACATTTATACTGGTAATTCCTGTTCAACAGTTAGCAAATTATTTAATACTAAGGAAGTTTAATTTTAAAGATTATCATCTTTCTAGAAATAGTTCCAAGGCGAGGGCATCAAAAATACGTCGTAAGGAGGAATCTTTACCGGAAACTGAAAATATTCTTACAAGTCGGAGAGAGTCAAGAGTGTTTGCAGCGGCTTGAAGAGCATAATAATATAAATATACAAATTCACACTAGGGAGTCGAGTTCTGACCGTTCCCAACGCCTACAAGATTAGAGGGAAAGACAACAAACGTCAACGATTAAAGTTCGTAATCGACTTTTAGCTCACAGTAACAGATCAGCTTTAATGCATTAAGCTCAACAGTCTTTTGTCCAAATCGGAGCCATGAATAAGAGCTGGCTCTAAGTGTTCTGCCAAAAATGGGTCGATGAACCAAATGGTACGTGCTGTGCTTCTGGAAAAATTAGTCTGCCCAACATGGAGGAGCCGCCACAGCCAATAAAAATCTTTTGACAAATAATCATTCACCATCTGGACATTTTTAACCAACAATCGAAAGTGCAATAGCCTCTTTCAAATGATTTCGTTTATCGTGAACTTTTAAAATAGAGGGACAAGTATACAAGTTATCATCATCCTCCTGCCCCTATCCCACCTAGGTGGGATCGGCACAACTATATTTTTACAACCAGCCTCCTGCCTGACGTCAAGCCTCCTTGGGAAACAAATACCCAGATCAAATTTCAACTCTGTAACTATCACGGTTCATGAGATACAGCCTGTTGACAGAGGGACAAACAGACAGCGGAGTCTTAGTAATAGGGTTTTACCCATTTACTAAGACCATTTTACCCTTTGGGTACGGAACCCTGAAAAGGCCCTAGAGATATACTGTTGCACGGTAGACACGGCCAACTTAAAAGGGTCTCTGAGTTACACCGATTGTATGATCCACTAAAATATCTCTTAATAGTCGTAATAGGAGAAGACGGTTTATATTTGACTATTCCTCAGCAAGGTACTGTGTGTAACAAAACTGCATTTTATGCATTTAGGTTCATGGTTAGAGCTACCTGTTTTAATCCATTACATTATTACTGGGACTTATTAGGGTTCCGTACCCAAAGGGTAAAACGGTACCCTATTACTACGACTCCGCTGTCCGTCTGTATGTCCGTATGTCTGTCCATATGTCACCAGGCTGTATCTCATGAACCGTGATAGTTAGACAGTTGAAATTTTCACAAACGATGTATTTCGTTGTCATTTGTTAACGCTATAACAACAAATACTAAAAAACAAAAAATATAAATAAGAGGGGCTCCCATAAAACAGACATGATTTTTTTTGCCGACTTTATAGATAATGTTCACAGTATTAGTGTTTTTGTCAATATTTAAGTGCAATACTTCTATATTGAATAAAGATATTAAAACATGATTTTTTTTAATGTAATCGAGTGGCAAACAAGCTAGCGGTTCACCTGATGTTAAGTAATAACCGCCGCCCATGGTCATTTGGAACACCTGTAGGGTTGAAAATGAGTTGCCATCTTCAAATAAAGTGGGCCCCGGCTACCTCTCTCACCAGACGAAACGTAAAAGTATTTTACACCGGTTTTCTGTGAGGTCGGTACGGAACCCTTCGTGTGCGAGTCCGACTCGCACTTGGCCGGTTTTTATTCAATACAATGTCGATATGATGGCAAAAAGATATCAGAAAGATTGAATTACATATGATGTCGTAATCACCATAGATTGAGGGCTGGTGAAACATTCATCTTAGAGACGCTTTAAATCAAGAAATTTGATGATTTATGCCCGAAGCTATGGGAGACTAGACTTATTTGTCACTTTTACGTGTAACGAATGTCCCGAATGTCCCGTAATTAAAGCGGAACCAATATCTGGTCAGCGATCTTTCGATCTTCATGACGTAATTTCAAGGGTATTTTATCAAAAGATTAAGAAATTCATAAAATTATTCACCACAGACGAAATATTCGGAAGGTTTTATGTGTGTGTATGATAATTTTTAATTTTAAAACTTTTTGTTAAAAGTATTGTTACCCGTGCGAAGCTGGGGCGGGCCGCTAGTATATTTTATATATGTATATACGTTTATGAATGCAACTCATATTAGCTGATTTGTCCCAAACTGATTGGTGTGGCCCAATGAAAGGAAAAGTATTCCGGACTTACATTCGACTCTACAGTTCCTCACCCTACTTGGTAGAGCTACCAAATAATTTATATTTTAAACTTAATTCTTAGAATAAAAGGAGATACTGTATTTTATTTTTTAGTAAATACTGCTTTTACTGTGGGATAACAGTAGCCTGTCTTATAAGCACGTTTTACACACATAAATTTTAACAATTGAAGCAATTATCTGAGGGGTCACAGGAACAGTTACTCGTATGGGAATCTAATTCACGACCTCCGACACCGAAGCCAACCAGTATCATAATGTTTAAATTGATTTGTGTATAGTTTTTAGAGTCTGCTGTCTATCTGTCCATCTGTCACCAGGCTGTATCTCATACTTTCACAGATGATGTATTTCTGTTGCCGCTATAACAAAAAATACTAAAAAACAGCATAAAAAATATTAACATACAACAGATGTGATTTTTATGGATATTGCTACAGAACCCGTCGTGTGCGAGTCCGACTCGCACTTACCCGGTTTTTTATAACATTATTAATACTTTAAGGGTGGCATAATTTGATAAAATTAAAACTATTGTTTAAAATTAAAAGAAATAAGAATAGATTACCAAGATAAAACATGACAATATTGAACCTGTGACGTTTGGTCTGGTGACAACTGTAAGTTAACACGACCGCAACCGTACAGGTTTTGTATATGTGATCATTTCCGCCTGTTTGAGTCCACTGCTGGACACAGACCTCCCCCACAGATGTAAATGTCTATGGGCAGTGCTACATATATTTTCTCCCCAAAGACTCCGCCGGTGGTGTATACGAAAGTTATACCACATATTTGGACCTGTGCAGAACTTCTTGGAGGTTTTATTTATGTATTAATTATTTATTGTACAAAAAAATTGCAGTTACAAATGAAGGATTAAAAAAATGACTGTACAAAGGCGAGCTTAACCGCCACGACTACAAACCTGATGGGTTGCAGGTGCGTTGCCATTTAATGAAGTATGTAAGTTCAATGAAGTATGGTTAATCCTCGGTCACCTCGCTCACCAGACAAGACACAGAAGTGTAACACTTCACACTTTCCTACAATAAAATGTTTTTTTTTTAATAATCACACTGTTCTCAATTTAAATTCATTCAAAATTATTTTCCATTTAACAGTTCGGTTATCAACAAAAGCGTGTTTTTTAGTCTT